TATATATATATATATATATATTTAAACGGGCTCATGATTTTTTTATTCATAAACATTTCTAATCTTATAGAGTTTGATGCGGACTAAAAAATTTGTGGCGGTAGAGTGATATATTATTGTGTTAATATTGTACGCAAATTTAACACATATTCAAAAAAGAGAAGACGATTAGTAGTGACGCTAGAAATTTTTATATGAAAAATCCGGAAATAAAAAAAAACTATGAGGTTTGGCTCAGTTGTAAAAATTCATTATTAGTTGATGATTATAGAGATCCCTCGTCTCACATGCGAGAAAGGGTTTCAAAGCACTCTGCATTACAACGTTGACGTGTGGATAAACATGTTACGAAGGACGAGCAGTGGCTCGTAGCAACTGTCGGAGGCCGACGGGTGGTAGTCGATGGTGAGGTCGATGAATGATGGTCAGTGATGGTTGACGACAGTCGGCGGTAGACTGTGGTCAACGACAACAATAGTGGTGTTGGACTTTAGCTCATTCTTAAAGCTTCAAGTTCTTTCTCAAGCCTCAAGCTCTTCTCCCTTCCAAGAGAGAGGTTTGACTCTATTTGGCTCATTCTTAAAGCTTCAAGTTCTTTCTCAAGCCTTCTTCCATTTCTCATAAGAGGGGGACTCTATTTATAGAATTTCGGGTACAATTAATGCAAGAATATGAATTACTGTCATAACACGGTCTGAAGAGTTTCCCTCAATCGGAAGGTGTTTGATGGACATTTGAGAGTCTTAATAATGATAGAATTGAGCGATCTTGGGCTTATTAGATTCGTCTTGTCGAGATGCTCAAATCGTCTATAAGTTTATCAGATTCGACATCAGTTTGACCTCCCAAATGTGCCTAAAAACTTTCAAAAGCAGTTTAATGACTTCATCTGGCATTGATTTGACCTTAATTTGACCAATTTTGATATCATTGGATCTATCTCGTCGAGCCGGTCAGTTTGACTGTAAGTTGCTGAAATCGGAGCTTTAGTTGACTCTGAATTGAAGTTTGAATATTTTTTGCTCAAAAAATTATCTCCATATTCGTATCATGCCTCGAGATTTGCGTCAAATGATAAAAATTTGTTGATGTATATCACTTAGATTGTTGAGGTTATGCAAATTTTGATAACTAGCTGAATTTGATATCCTTATTTATGTGATTATACAACAATCAAAAGATTGTATTGTCCATAACCTTTGAGTTGAGTTCAGTCCACTACACTATTGGCCAAACCTAAAATAAATTCAGAATTTTAAATGTAAGTAGTTGTCATTTATTAAGGGATAAAAACACTTTCTTTTTTATTATGAGTGTTATTCTTATTATTTGTATTAGTTTCCTAGATATTTTTTGAAGTGTTAGTGCTATCATTGAAACTCAATTATTTGATATACATATGGCACATATATCTCTTTATATTTCTAATAAAATATTATATTGCATAAATAGTTTGTCTTAATTCATTGCTACTCAATTTCCTATATATTGAATAAATTTACGTAATTGCAATACTTATTTTTCTTGTACATTAATAATGTTAAATATAACATATTTTATTCATGCAAAAAACATATTTTAAAATACAATAACCTTGGTCATATAATTTATAAAATATCAATTGAAAATTTATAAAATAATTTGCTTGTATATAGTGGTATTTAAGTCAGCAAAATCCATTTGGATATAGCTATCAGGCTAACAGGCTCTCAGAGTAACGATTCTATAGAAAATCATTAAGTAGTCGCGGTACTATACAAAATCATTAGCTTTTCTTATGTTGATGTTTATCATCCAGATTTCAAGATAAATGAAAAAAATGGGCTACATATATATAAATTAAAATGCAATTGAATAATATGTGACTATTGAGACATAGTTAATAAGGCGTGATTGTACTCAATATGATTGCATTGGGAAATGTAAAGTATAACGTTATAGTTTATAATATTTTAAAAAATTAAACATGGCATCGCACGTTGAAAATCAATTTAGAGCAAGTGATACCATTGAAATATTATGATAATTTACTAGCATTTATTACCTAATAGCATAAATAATAAATAATGCTTTGTTATTACTTATATTAAAATTCTCGCATATATTCTGACTTATGCTTTAATAAATAATCATTATTTTTGAACTTAGTTGGTCAGACTCACTCATGATAATTTTTCATATAGCAAATTCTAACAGTGTGTTTGGTGGATTATCACCATAGGAGCAAAATTTTCAAGCTTAATTTGATATTTTAAGTTTATTTATATGTCTTTTGGTGTTAGATAGTTTTTGCTTTTGCAATTATTTTCCTTGAGTTTCTTTCTCATTAAATATTGTTCTACTTCCTTCTGCGGTGATAAGTTTTCTTCATTTAAGGAAATGTTATTTCTCAATTGCTTATTCTAATAGATTTTATTTATAATTGCTTGCGTATGAACTTTTTTTATCGAGTACAAAACAAGTTTTTGTAATTATTCAGCACATCCCATGTTCCTAAGATGTATCGCCTCCGGACTCAATAGTGTGACATAAACACGCCAATAGTCTCGGCTGCTGGCCTGCAATGCTAGCTCCTCTCCCATAGCTACCACCAGCTCGTCATGGATCTACTTTAACCAGGGTCCTTGCTGCTAGCGGAACACCTTGGCAAGCACCAGCCACTAAAGGAGTCGGAAAGCATAGAGAAACCTATCATCTGATGGTTTCGTCTCCTTTAATAGACTACGGGGGTGTTTGGCCGGCAGGTCGGATTTACGTTAATAGGATTTATCAAATCCGGATTTCTGGCGAGCACGTGACGAGAACGAAGGTCGAGAGCAACGGAACGGTAAATCCATTAAATCTGCCTCTCTATGGGACTTACGAAATATGATGTGCAGATGGAACGGAGGTGGAGAAGACGGAACGGCGGATTTAAGTTAAATACATGGCCAAATCCTATTAACAGTGGGCTACCAAACACTCCCGTAGAGTAAGTAGCTCGGATGAAAGATTAAGTTTAACAGCAGATTTTGACTCCAAGTCTAAAGCCGATTTCACAAAAAAATCTCTTCCAAATCATACAAAATAATTTTGAGATTGTAACTTGATTTCAGCTGAAATCAGTAAAGGAACTTAAATCTCCATCAACCAAAACAGTAGTCGACAGAGTAAATATTAGCGGTAAAACTTCTTCCCCCCAATCATTAGACTCATCCATCAGCCCAAAAAACACAAAAGCATCCCACTCTTGAAAATTAAAATAAAAAAACAAAACAACTAAAAAAAATCATCTAACATCTCTTTCGATCCTTCACGTTTTCCAACAAAACCTTGACTCATCATACTCATATTCATGCACAAATAGGGGGTGTGGCTTCGATCCTTCACGTTTTCCAACAAAACCTTGACTCGTCATACTCATATTCATGCACAAATAGGGCTACGAGGCTGAAGATCACTGAAAGAGGGGGGGAGTTGAACTAACCTTAGCTCCAAAGCCTGCAGAAGTTCTAGCAGCACGGACTCCTCCACTCCCAGCCCCGATCACAAAGAGATCAAAATCGTAGCTCTCCTCCTCCACTGCCCCGGCGGCAGCAGTATCGCCCTTCTTCTCCCCATCAATCAGCATCTTCCTGGGCGTCGACATGCTTCCGCTCCTCTGTAGAACCTCGATCCTGCGCGATCGACTCGACTACGGTGTGGATCCTCGGCGTCGACTGCTTAATTTGACAGAATCGTTTGATTGTAGTTTTTTTGTGACTGAGAGGAGGCTCTTCTATAATATTTATATCTTAATTCTTGGCCACATTCATTGAATCGGAAGTCGATACATATTCAAGAAAAAATTATACACTACGGTGTGAATTTCATTATATTGTACCTTTTATTATGGAGATATATTTATATACGTGCGGTGCGTACGTCAGGGAGGTTATTCAGAGGGTATTGGGGGTTATATCCGCATTATACCCCATGTAACTTCTATGTAACTTACCTTTAACCTATTTGTAACTCTAGTAAGTTTTGCGCTTCTGTTTTCATATATTTGTAGGTTACAGATAGATTACAGGGAGATTACAAGGGTATAACGTGAATATATCCTTTATATTACAGGGAGATTACAAGGGTATAACGTGAATATACCCTTTATTACCCTCTGAATAACCTCCCAGACGTACACAGCGCTACGTACGTCTTATGTACGCAGCGCTGCGTATGTCTTATGTACGCATTTTTTTCCCTTATTATGTGGTAGGATTCACAATGTTCACGTTTTTTACCGCACATCTGATTACGGGAAGTAATATTAAGTAATATTTTCTCGTACAATTTGAATTTTTTATGTAAATTATTTAGTGTAAATGTGAATTCAACGAATGAGATGTTGATTGGACATTTTCTCCCGCATTCAATGATCTATTATTTGATATTCATCGGCCTAAAAAATCATAATAACAATGTGAATTGAGGGATTTTGTACATCCACATGAGCTACATCACTATAAGGAGAAAATATGTCTAAACCTAATTATCCACTTTGTGATTTTTATCTTGTAAATAGTGAATCAAGTGCCATGCTCGAATATCACAAACACATCTAAGCCAAGAATGAGTAAAATATCACATCATCGTTCTTAGGAACTTATAAGTATTAGACTTAAAGGTTTTGTCTCACTACTCCACAATACTTACTGTTACACAATTAAGTTCCACAAAAATAAAGGTGTTTTTTTTTTTCTTGCCTTGGTTGTTGTATTTTGAACAATTTTAGATGAAAATAATAATAAGTAGCATCAGCCACAATTATGTTTCGGAAGAATTGTGCAGTTACCTACGACTAGAGCTATCAAAACGGTTCGTTGTTCGCAAACAGCTCGTGTTCGATATATATATATATATATTTGATGAGTAGTATTTTTAAAAAAATTAATTGGCTAAAAGGCTACAAAGATTTATAATCAATTAAAAGTATTAATGAAGAAAATAGAATAAAAACTATTAAATTAAATTCAAATGATGTTTTAAATCTTGCACCAATGCTTAACATTATATGGCTACGTGATTAGTGTTGTCAAAAAGACTCTTTGTTCGTGAACGACCCGTTCGGCTCGCTAAGCAAATGAGTCGAACACGAACACACTTTTTGAGCTCAAAATATAAACGAGCCGAACACGGGCTGACTCACGACATGGTAGTTGAAAGTATAATTTGAATTAGATCCAAATCACACAATTGCTCTTTGGATTAGTCTTTCTAGAAAAAAAAAAATCAAAATAATTCATTACTTCTTGGAAAAGAATTCATTACTTTTTGGATGCTTTTCATAATTGAACTCAATAATTATGCACTATTAAGTGGTCCTCACTTTAGTGAAAAAACAACTTCATTTAATTTGGCCGTTCCTATCAACTGCAAATTTTTGGTATAAAAATATAACATATCCATCATCCGCTTACAAAAATGATATATATCTAATCCATACATAAAAATGTGTATTTCAAATGTTAATTTTTTTTTCATGCAAGATAAGCATACGAATCGAGTATTTGGAGGCGCGCATTTTCTATTCGGACACCTGACGTACCTCTACGTGCGGTAGAAGTTATTTCAAAGTTATTTTCAGGTTATTTCTAAGTTATTTTTAATAATCCAGAAATAATGCTTTACTTAGTGATAATTTTATATGTTATAAAATATTTGAAAGACATAAATATAGAAATTAAAGTTTAAATATTAGATATATAAATAAATAAGAATTGGGGTTGTAGACATGTGAAAAGCCATTCATAATAGTAGGTGCAATGGCCCCATTAAGGATGCTTTGCAGGAAAGCGGATGCGGCCTGTCGCTTGCAAGGGCCATTTGGTAAATTCAGTTTTCGATTCTGACATTTCTAAGGATTACCAACCAATTAGGAGCTTTGCTTTTGAATTGTTGGAATAAAAAATGGTAGATTTTTATTGAATTTACAGCCCATGAATTAAAATATTGACATTTTTTTACAAATAGTTGAATAAAATAAGAATTAACAAACAACTCATGCCAGAAGGGGTTGATCATTAGGGGTGTAAACGAATCGAACACGAACGAACAGAGCTTGTGTTTTTACAATTAGGAGCTTTGCTTTTGAATTGTTGGAATAAACCATGAATTAAAATATTGACATTTTTACAAATAGTTGAATAAAATAAGAATTAACATACAACTCATGGTTGATGAGCAGGGGTGTAAATGAATCGAATATGAACGAATAGAGCTTGTGTTTGTGTTTAGTTCGTTTAAAATTTAATTTGTTTGAAATAAGCTTGTGTTCAAAATTATTCGTGAAGTCATTGTTCTTATTTGTTTCTTAACACGCGAACCGAACACGAGTTGTTCG